ATGTGACATCAGTGGTTAGTCCGTAATTTCCTGAAGCTACGAGAATACTTTTTGTGTGCAAAGAAAACAAAAATAATGACTTTATTCGACAATTTCATCTCTTCCATGTTAGAATTCATTTCGCGTTCACGAAAGTACCACAATGTTATTTTATGTTTTCTTTGTGCACAAAAAGTATTCTCATAGCTTCATAAAATTACAGTTTAACCACTGATGTCACATTGACTATTTTAACGATGTTCTTACTACCTTTCTGGACCTTGAACGTGTCAGTTGTGTTGCTATCTATGCAGGGTCAGAAAGCTCTCGGATTTCATCAGAAGTATCTTAATTTGTGTTCTGAAGATGAACGAAGGTCTTACGGGTTTGAAACGACATGAGGGTGAGTAATTAATGACAGAATTTTCAGTTTTGGTGAACTATCCCTTTAAGCTTTTACTTTGCAACAGCAAGCCCAATCCCACTTGTCCGTAAAAGTTACGCTTCTGCATTCATCACCTATTAAAGCTTCGCCGAAGCATCTGCTCAACCCTCGGACAGCTGCAAGGTCACGCACAGGACACATTCACTGGGTTCATCAGGATGTGTGCTCGAGATGCAAACTTAGGCAGTCAAAACAACCTGGCAGATTTAAAACAAACAGGGATAGAAATTACGTTTTCCCGGCTCGAGAGATGCTGGACAGACTCTTCATTCCAATACACCAGCTGCAGACAGACACACACGTCCCCAATAACAGCACGTACTCCTAAACCAACCACAGGGGTCGTGGTGAGCCTCATCCCCTTGACCAACTTCAAAACACAGAGCTGCTTTTTGATTCCCTGTCCTGGGAAAAGAATGTCTTAACGAGGCTGCAAATTGGCTATTTGAAGAGCATAGATCACCACCGGACACTTCCTGATAGTAATGCTAGGAATAACAAGGCAGCTAGATCCTGGGGTTTATTTATGTTCGGCATGCTGGAGAGGTGGTGTGGTGATCGCCTGGTGGCATTCCAAAGCTGTGATGTCTCACTTGCAGACGCCAAACTCCAGTTCAGCAAAAGTACTGCAAGATGACAGCAGAGGGAAAGACAATCTGCACAATATTCCCAAACAACTTAACCATTTAGTTTAGTATCAAAACGATTGCAGTGCGACTGGTACAACCTCGGGTAAAATATATCTTGAGTGCATTTGGAACCAATTATACTAAAGGCGCACTTGGTACAAGCAGGGCCTGGTAGAGGCAGAGTGTTGCCTTCAAGCTTGAGACCCTGGCCATACTGCCTACCCTCGGCCCTTCATGTGGTTTCTGTCAAATTGCATCATTTGGAATGAGGCCACAGGCAGACTCTGTCCCTCTGCCTCCACACTGCTCATTGAAAAAAGTAAATACTTGGCATAAGTTAACAGAGCTGAAATGAGATCATTGACTTTTCTTCAGGAAAGGAGTCACAACACATCCATCAGATGAATGTCTGATAGATCTGGCAGAGCTATACTATTCCACAAGTTCTTTTTTTACACTCACTTCAGTGCTTTGTCCTCCCTTTCTTCTTCAATTGACCAGATTATGACATCCTAAACATTCCGAATGCAGGGGAAAGGTCTGTGAGAGCTTGGGATGAAGCAATTCTTTCAGGACAATCAGGAAGTGCCATTAGAAATTTGATAAGTTAGAAAGGGCCTCCAAAGGCGTATCCTAATTAACTCTTGGTCCTTGAGGTGCGTCCAACTGTGGTAAAGGAATGGTTAATTCTGATTCTAGACAAAGATAATTCTAGACTTAAAGAGAAAGAGTTCCACCAAAAATGAAAATTCTGCCATAATTTACTCACCCTTAATTTGTTCCAAACACATTTGACCTTCTTCTGTGGAACACAAAAGGAGGTTGCTCTTTTTCATGTAGTTACAGTTAACTGGAATGAAAGATTTCTAAGTTCAAAAAGATGCAAGCAGACCTGGAATATGGACTTTTCAAGTACTTTTATGGCAATTTTGAAACGTGAAAACTTTAGTTCCCATTATTGCATGGAAAAGAGCCACATAAATGGGGGGAACTTTTTCAATGAGTGATTTGTGTGGAGATTGCACTGGAACTTGGAAAGCTAAACAGAAACCACTTCCACTGCTTTCCAAGCAGCTAATTTCAGTTTGGTTTGCACAAACGTTCCACAATCTTTGAATATGAAAGTGACTATGCAGGTTAAAGAGCCTGAATGTATGATTGGTAAAGAGGCCTGATTTATTATCAAATACATTTTTAAGTTCTCCACAGATTGAAGGAAGGAAGTAAGGAGAAAACTAACACCAATAATTCATAAACCCTGTTAAATTCAAGGTTTCCTGTGCCTGCAACAAAGCTGCGGTCTTAAACAAGCAAGCATTTTCGGGTGAACACAGAGGCAGGTCTGTGCAAAGCCCCTGTAATCCCTCAAAGTCAGCACAGAGCTACAGTTAATGGCAGGCTATGAAGCAGGAAAGAAGGGGCTTGCACACATGCGTACCCAAAGAAACCGTGAATGAGTGTGTTCAGTCTATATGGAGAGTCTAGTGTTTGTCCCAGGGTTCGAGAGAGGTGTTTATGTGTTGCATGACTTTGTGGATCACGGATTGTGTGTTTGGGTTGTACGGCTGCTGCCTGGAGATCTTTTGTTTGGTTTAGTGCTTTCATAGAGCAAACTAATGGGGCCAGTGGGACAAGATATAGTATGACTTGCTCGGGGTGACACTTCAGTGGCAGGAAGTGAGGCGGACAGTCTGAACATGAAAACAGATTAACGGACGAGTTTTACCTACATTCTGTGCATTAAAGCGTTAATGTCTGGGAAAGAGACAAGACGTGACTCATTTCAACGGGATGTTTTGGAATTCCAGCTACAAAAGAAAGGCTTGTAACAGTTTGAGTAGTCACGCTACCTACCGAGAGTGTCCTGCGTGTTCATTTTTGCTCCATAAATGACAAAATTGTTTGACTTCCGGGTGGGAGATGATATGGGGTTGAAAGCTGGTTTGAGACACTCCAGCTGCCAGTCCCCCCACAAAACCTCCATCTTCCGTCGAAAGCCCCCCCACCAGCGTCCCTCAGTCTAAACACACCTGACTTGTAAATATTCTTTATTGCATCGATAACATAAACGCTCTCAGCGACAGGCCCGTTGGATGATTTTTCCCACACTCTCAGAATAAGGCCAACCACTCTGTTCTCTAAACATCAGCACTCCAAAGAGGATGGCGAAGCTGACGTAACCTCTCCAGGCTCGAAGGACTTTCAGCAGCTCACCAAGCGTACCTCCACCCAGTTAACCCAAAGAGGACATACAGGGAGTCTGAATTTCTTCCTATGGTGATATGCTGCAACAAAAATGGGGTTAAGATGAGCAAAAAGTTCACTAAAGAGTAAATTTGCTAGATATGCAAATGTAAAATAGCTTTTATCAACCTCTATTAATTTTATATTAACGTTTACTCATCTTCATTTTGTTCCAAACCCAAAGGACTTTCTTCCGTTGAATGCAAAAGTAGAAATTTCGTCGATTTTCCTTATGTCCGAGCAGCTCTTTTCCATAAAATCAAAGGTTACACTTTATTTCGACAGTCCACTTTAGACATTCTACTAACTTTAAGTAACTTTGCAACTGCATTACCCTCGCATTAGACTATAAGTAGCCTGTTAGGTTAGGGTTAGTAGAATAATTGGACATGTAGTCAGTAGAATGTCTGTTGGCAGACTATCAAAATAAAATGCAAACATATTAAGCAGACAGTCTACTAACTGGTAGTTGACATGTAGTTGCAAAGTTACTATCAAAATAAAGTAATATCTAAAAACGAATTCATATAAGGGGGGAAAAAACAATAATACATGCCATTGGATACAATAGGAGCCATCACACCTTCAGTGCTTGGCCCCTAAATATGTGAACAAACTTCACAACAACACATTATTCTTAATATCTCTTTAATCACACTGGTCAATATTAATTAAATTCTATCAATCAAAGTAAATCAATATCTTAGGAAAAACAAAACTCACAACTCAGGACAAAAATAGGCACTGCAAGCAGGGAGACCAAAAAAGCACCCTTAAAAGTCAGGCTACATTTGTGTTCAGACTAAACATTTGTCATCTGTTCCATTTTATTTCAAAGAATGCTTTGTTCTCCACTCGGTGCTTATTTTACTGCTCACAGGAGCATTTGCATAGCATTTTCCTCAAACTTCTTGACCTCCCTGTATCACATGTCACTTCAAAAACAACACAGCGCTCAGAGAAAGTATACATATATAATTCATTTCCAATCATTTGACTTTCAATATACAATGGGGTCCAAAAAGTCAGAGACCACTAGTGAAAATGCATTTTTTTCCCGATTACATATATTATCAGAAAAAATATTCGAAAATAAAATCTGAATTGAAAAAATCAACAAGAATATGAGAAAATGTTTGTTTTAATGACACCAGCTATTTTGCGAGCTACATGATGATCATGTTCTCAAGCATGATTTGAGTATGATTCAAAAATCATCTCGCGCTTCAGAAAACCTGACTCTCTGATGACACAAATTTACTTGATTAGTGACCTAGAAACTGTGTTTTTAATTTTCCCCATCACACTGTTTTTGTTTTAAAGTTGTTTAAAATTCTCAATCTTTAAAAATATTAATTTAAATGAAAACAAATAAAAAATACCAGATTTCCAATGTAGTCTCAGACCTTTGCCCCTAACTGAAAATTTCCAACAAGTGTTAAAAAACATTTTAGCAGAGCAAATTTCTTTGAAGCGATGTGTGCTCTTCAAATGACACAATATTGAAGTAAAGAAGTTGAGGAGCGAACGCAAGGCCATTCTAATCTGTTATCTGGATACTGATATTGCATATTGTGATACTGAAGGACCCATTATTCAGATGAATGTTGCTAAGTATATAGTTGTCTGATTGCACGGCTCACTTGATTTGGAATTGATGGTTCAGGAGTGACTTTGGAGTAGCGTGACATCTGATTGGTCTATTTCAAGTCCTATTAAAGTTCTTCATTCTTACTAGAAGGTGGTGATTGACCTGCTCCTCCAGATGCTTCCACCTCCTCAGAGGCACTGTTTTTCGCCTGGAAATTGAGAGAAGCGGAGTTTATGCAGTAGCGTTTCTTTGTTGGTCGAGGTCCATCATCAAAAAGGTGGCCCTGGTGAGCACCACACTACAAAGAGAAAAAAAAAAAATCAAGACGTTTTCATAGCAATGCATAAAAAATGTAAATCTGGTTTTGTACCTGACTGCAGGTTGTCTCCACTCTGTGCATCCCATACGAAAAGTCATCAGTTAGTGTTATAGAGTCCTTATTGATCAAATCAAAAAAGGACGGCCATCCTGTAAAAGCAGTACAGCATTGAGGGTTAAGTGAATCTTTGTGTGATCCACACGTCTATAAACCTTCAATTCCATCTCGTGCTGTGTAAGTTTAAAGGTTTTGTCCTCTTCTTGGCCTGTCCTGATGCTGAAGCTCATTCTGAGTGAATCCTCATATTTTCTTGCCACTCTATCCTTGTCTTTCACTTCTTTTGCTCCAGTGCAATGCAAACTAATCAGTAACCTTAATGCAACACATTGCATATGCTTAGAATGCAAAGCACATTGGGTTAGGAGGATTATTTGGAAAAGAACAACGGAGAATGTAGAAAAACCTTTGTCCTTTGGTTTGGAAATAAACTGTTGTTAAATGGCAAGAGTATTTGCTGATGCAAAATTCACCCCCATGATTCACGAGTGTTTGATTTGTAGCAAAACCAGATATACGGGATCGTCCATCTATACCCCACTGAAGATGAGATCAGAAAGTGAAGCAAACCTCACTGAAAATGGTCAGCGTTATCAGCAGAGTTACGGGCTGTCTCACAATCCCCTTTCTTTCATCTGGAAAATTTCTACCCAGTAACAGGGGTGCAAGTGGAAAGAATGGCTGCTCTGGCTCATGGGTGGTCCTGCTCATGGCTCTCTGAGTAGGTGGAACGTCTGGAGGAGAGGAACCTTGGGAACGTACTACTACACAGCCTCTGCTGGCATATTTGTTTAGGTTTTTGACAAAACCCCCTACCTATTTTAAAGTACTACCCCCTGATTACTGGTAGAGGGAAAGACATTAAATTAGAAGCTGCAAAGCAAAATGAATGAGAAGTACAAGACTACTGGCACTGCAGGGTACACCACATCCAATTATTATTCAAAACATTACAGATGAAGTTTTGCAACAACAGAACTGCAATGTTAAGTATAAATAGTATGTTTTTAAATCTAGAAAACAAAAAATGAATACTAGAGCATTTAGAGAATATTAGAGATTTAGAGGTACAAAAACACTACAGTTTAAAAGTTTGGGCTCAGTAAGATTTATTTTTCAGCACATTACATTGATCAACTTGATTGATGAACGTTCTATTTATCACAGAATCCTGAAAAACAATATATCATGTTTCCATAAAAACAATGAGCAGCACAACAGTTTTCAACATTTATAATAAGAAATGTTTCTTAAGCATCAAATCAACATATTAGAATAATTTAGAATAAGGATAATGGGACACTGAAGACAATGGCTGCTGAAAGTTAAGCTTTTCTCACCAGAGGAATTAATTACATTTTAAATATATTAGAATAGAAAATTGTTATTTTAAAATTGTAATAATATTTCACAATATTACTGTTTTTACTGTATTTCTGATTATTTAAATGCTGACTTAGAGAGCATAAGAGACTTTCAAAAAAAATCTCAAGAACCTTTTACCGGTACAAAACAAATGATCTGTATTGAATGGTACATCATGAGAGTTAAAATATAATTAAAAACCTAACTATGCCATTTCACTTTCTGGACAAAAATGTAAGAACATTTTAAGACCTTCAAAAGGTTAATTCAAGGTTTTCGAAGTACCTGCAATTATTCTGTTCTAATGGAGAACTAACAGAAAGAGTTGTTTAAGGGCCAGTGTGGGAGATTTGCCAACCAAGGTTCCTTCATGCCCTTTATTCTAGCTTTCGACCCTAATTATTGGCAAGCATATCTTGGTAATTCTATCTGATTTTACATTTTATAATCAGGAAGCAGGAGTTGGTTCACTGCTGTGATACTATGTGTGGTGAGAAACAGAAGTCAGTCGGTCAGTCATCCACCCACTCAATCTATACTTTCCCTCCTCAACCCCTCAAACACCCCTCAATCGCCATCTATACTGACCTCTCTCTCCTCCCTCTTAGGGAGGAGATGCTTGGCTGCAACTACAAAGCCACGAAATTCCACTCAGACACAGGAAGCTCTAGGGGGAATATAGGAATCCTATGACTCAGACCGGGAGAATCCCGGCGGATTGTCGCGGAGCTGATCTAATGGAGCTTTATCGCCAGGGCGAGCGGCCCAGTGAATGGAGCAGTGTAGCGTCACTCTAACAAAACAGGAAATTGAGTCTATATGAGTCCAGGCTGCAGAGTTGCCTGCATGCAATGCAGCCCGTTTGTCGAAGACAGTAAAGATTCAACTCCAGCGAAAATCAGATTTTTCAACACGGGGCCCAGATGTTTCTCATTTCGTCCTGTTTTCTGTAGAGGATTCTCACATACACGTTTTACTTTGTTCGGAGAGTGAATAAAAATAGCATGAGTAACGCTACAGAAGTATGTGATTTGGAGCTCAGATCTGTAAGGGATCAACAATCCGTTGCTGCAGTATATTACAATTACATTGTATACACTCAGCGTCAACTCAACATTCACTTAGCTAATGAGAGTCTTTTTAAGCTTTTTAACAACGTCGTTTGCACTGCGCTCTTGCGTTACTTGATCTTTTTATTTTGGTGCGTCAATCTGTTGAGTTACTTAGTATAGGAAATTATGATCCGCACTCACGAGAACAGTCTTCTTTTTTCTTTTATTTTACATTCATTACTGTAAAATAAATTACTAATTACATTAATCGGATTGAATTGCTTTACACACTGAGGAAGGCTTTGAGCCGAAACGTTTGTGTCTTTTCCCATCAGTAATGAATGTAAAATAAAAGAAAAAAGAAGACTGTTCTCGTGAGTGCGGATCATAATTTCCTATACTAAGTCTTTTTAAGCTTAAAACAGAAAACATTGAATACATATCTTAAACTCGTAACAGAAAATATACCATTGCAACTACAAAACCATGTTAAAAACTAAATGGGAAGCACTTCCAGGAAACTACCAATTCATAACAACTATGATCTGCATTTAATGCTTATTTGCATATCTGTAATATACTCCTCGTTTGACTTTTGACCTCATTTTGAAGCAAATATTGTTTTAAGGGATTATTTGTCATTTTTTTGTAAGCCATTAACTAAATTAATAAAAATAAAAATAAAACTCAAAATTCAACAGAGTTGTTCTCCATTTGTGAAGGAAGAATGTTTGATGTGCACAAATTAAGAACCGGAGGATTCCAAATGATTATGGATGACTGTGGCGGAATGTTTATAGCCAATATCATTCATCTCAAAGAGAACAGCTAAGTTAAAATATTTTAGATATTTTGTAGGATCTTGAAGTCAGGGTGTTGTTTGCTGTAGGTGCTGTAACTAATATATAAAGGAGCATGTGAGGTTTCAAGCCCCAAACTTGCAGCCTATTAGACAGCTGACTGGATTCACATTCGTCCTTGCAATCAACCATAAAGGAGGTTGAGAAGGTCAAACTCTCCCTTATTGAGCCAGACAAGAGAAGAATGAGGAGCAATGAGCCTTATCTATTTTTTTCTCTCTCTCTTTGAGAAACAATTAGGCTTAGTCTTGTACAATTATGTACACAATTACCAAAAGATGTACTGGAGCTGTTCTGAGAATAAAAAAAAATCAAGCATTTTTACAAAAATAAACTAATTTGTCTTATCTATTCTGATTTTTGTTATACGTGAGTGCAGAACCATACCTGATCCAGAGTCAAACTTCTTATCAGACCTGCAAGGACAGTAAGTCATCAATAACAAAATATTGACTACCAAATGACATGATTTCTAGTTCAAAAACAAAGATTAAATACAATGGGAATGTTAAAGATGGGTCATTACGATGGACACTCACGTGAATAGAGGGGCACCGCAAACGGCACAGTGGTAGGTTCCTTCCTCTTTGTTATCTGTGTATTTTCCTGTGAAAGCACTAGGGATGACAAAACAACACAAACTGTGACTTTATACATTAAAATGATCAACTGTTAGCTTAATAAAAGATAATGGTCAGCTCAATAAAAGTTCATCAGTTAATGCTAATCCAAAATGCATTTCAGTTTCCCATGCTCTCGTGTTTATGTAAAAAAAATAAAAAACTAACTAAATGGAAGCAACTGACTAAGCATTTCTTATCTACATAAGCTGAAGAGGATTTGTGGGTGAACAGAGTAACAGGCCTCAAAATGCACCTTTCAGGTATCTTTCTTTGCTCTCTTCTCACAGGCTAAGGGGCATTTTTCACATTCCTACTGCCTGAGCGACAGAGGGATAGAGGAGAAGTGTCAGTGTTTTCCTTTCTACGCTATATCCTCCTTCTACTCAAGATCTATCTCATGGCCTTGGGTCGTTCAGGAGAGAATGTGCCATGAGTTTTATCAGCCAAGCACAAAGAAATCTGAACAGGGAATATTCAGTCAAGACGCTAAATCAAGATGCTTGAAATTGAAAAAAATCTAAATCCAATGTTTGTTATTTCACCTTTTAGAATATAAAGTTGTTGGAATATATTTGAATTATTTGGAATATGAAATTTAACCTTGTGGCTGCTTTTGCAAATGACCCCTTTCAAAAACAATTACTTAATTAAAAATTATTTTATAAATCATTATAAATGACATTTAAGTAATAATAATTATATGAAATTTGTTGTTATTATTATTATTGTTAATATTACATTTATAATACATTATAGACTATTTATTAATTTGGTTTTTAAACTTTTTCTTAAATTGTAGTTTTGCATAGAAAGTGACATACATACATATAATTTCTACACATATATATTAAAATTAATGAAATAACTGAATAATATAATCTATGAATAATTTGGAATACTTAAGCATTAGTTTTTTTGGTTTTTAATTCAAGCGTTCAATTCAAACCTTTGACTGAAAGTGTATTTTAAAGTGTCTTTTAGTTAGGATGGGTCACCCACCTCTCTGTGCCCTTTTGCTGAGTAACATGGTACTGCATGGGGGTCAATCGCTTCCTCAGCTCCTCCTCGGGGAACGTCTTGGGCCATGTCTTCTTACTTCGGCACGTTCCTACAGGAGAGACAAGTGAGGTAAGGCAAACGTAAGTGTTTGTAATCACAAAGTAAAGTAGTGCAGAATTATTAAATACAAACAATTGTCACTCTAATCTAGGTTTCTATGTGACTCCTTCCAAGCAGGAGTCAGCACTTTTGTCTGGTTACTTTGGTTGCAAATGATTTGGTTTGGCCGATAACAAAGGATGTCTATTTTATTTCCTGACTCGACTCTTGCCTGGAAAAATCACAGTGTCAGTGACACACACACACAGAATCCAAACGCTCCGTCAGTGATGTGCTACAGCCAAAGTATTACGCCGAGGCAAATTAGATTTTCCCTGCATAACATACGCAGTAAGTTATGACATTCTAGATGAGCACTCATGTTGGCTGTTTATACAGAAGGCAGCGATATTGACTGCTACACTTGGCCCCTAGCTTTACAACAATGCTGACCTCTAGAGGTCAACCTGAGGAGTGAGTAATTGTCACCAGAAGGACTTTCAAACTAATTGATTAAATAGCGACACAACTTCTACTGATAACAAACTTCAAAACATCAGCCTGGGAAGAAGAAGAAAAAAAAGAAATATCAAAAATGAGCCTGAAATATCCACTCTGGCAACCGTAAGATCCTCAGAAGAAGACAAGCACTGTAGCCATGTTTTTAAAGGGGGCCAGATGTCCATCTGTATGCCATTTAGTCACCGGGACACGTAGCAGTTTTGAATTACATACAATTCTACTGCAATTTCCCATTACAGAGTGCTTTCTCCCTCCTTTCCACCTTTTCTCCTGCTAATAACGATTTTTTTCACTCATGTTCCTGTGGGGTCTGTCCTGCTCCCGTATTGTTTGGCCAGTTTTACGGCTTGCGTTCTGGTGAGAGCGGGTCTCCCTTCACTTAGACTATGTGGAGAATTCCTCTCGACAAGATTGAAACCATGTGAATGGAGGAAATAATGGGGTCTTTAAAGGTCCCTCTGGTGAATGGGCTCCATTGATGGGCCCTGCTCTGTCCAGCGAGTACAAAGTTACTTCTGACAAACATGGGGAAGAGGGGAGGAGAGCGCAAAGAGGAGGGGGTCGCCTCCCTGCAGGACTCTCCCGTATTCCTTTCGACTCTGTGAGAGGGGTCTTCTGGATTCTATTAGTGAGAAAGAGAGAGAATTCCTATTTTTTGTGTATGGAGGGCTCTGAACAGTATTTATACTGTGAAAGAGAGGGAGGGAGAAAGGGGAAAAAAAGTGTTTTATTTCTTGGTTTGTCTAGAAAAGCCTCTAAGGAGGCATTTAAAGAAATTCAGGAATTCGGTCTGTGTTACCGAGAGGTCACGCTACAAATCAGCACGTTGTTCCAACATCCCTTCGCTATAACCTCAAGTGAAAGTTATTTCCTAATTGGAAACAAGATTTGTTTTTAGCACGGGCCTTTTGCTTCACACCAAAAATATCACGTCTTCCCCCAGACATTTTTCACGCTTCTTCTCACCTATTCTCAACTCATCGCTTTCAAACTTTTTGAGAGTTCGTGCAAGGCAGCGCTGTAGTAATATTATTCAAACATTTTGCTTAGGTTTTGTACTTTCACACTATTAATGTTCCTGTCATGTAGTAGCACTGAAATATGTCTCTATACAGATAATTAAATAAAAAATGATTTTAGGGTTACTACACTGAGTATTTCTTTCAACAATGGGAAATTCTAAACTGGTTATGTAAGAATCAGGTAAATTGAGAAATATAATATCATATATTACAATATGTGTATAATATGTGTCATTATAATATGAATTATAATATGTGTGTGTGTGTGTATATATACATACATATACACTACATTAAGAAATTTTGAAATGATTTTGAAATGATTTTTGACATTAATGGAATCTTTAGCATTTAAAATTCACCTAACAGTAATGACGTCATCATAATATCATCATATTTGTATACCGAATTGCAACTGTTCTTTCTCACGCCTGTTCAGTCATATAGCTGTGTTAATTATTATTCAGTAAAAGCAGCATTTCATTCACACACTTTGCCTAAAATTTGAACATTAGTCTTTTTTTACTTTGCCAGCACTATTATTTACTTTAAGAAATCTAAATCCTGTTGGGTTTTATTATTTTGACACAGAAACGCCCAGTTATTGATATTAATCTACTGATGTGTCTTAATAAACCTATGAAAGGTTTTAACATGCACCAATGATTACTTTACAAAAATGCAATTAGATACAATTGATCGAAAATTTCCCTCAGAACACACCCTGTATCAAATGTGAGTGTCATCTAAATTCCTAAAATGGAAAATGCAAATACAAATGCAATCATTAGTAGATCATGTTAAAGCTTGACTGATCATGCAGGCTTAAAAGAAGGTAAAACAGTGAGTTAGGCGTTATTCCATGAGCAACTGAAGAGCTAAACAGAGGAAAAAAAGAGCAAAGCAAAAGGTGACATTTCCGGGCAAGGGGTCATCAAATGCAGAAAAACCAACGCAAGCATCAGGGGGAACCTGATATCTGGCAGCCAACTATTTAGAAATTGATCTAAAATCTTACCAAAAGTCTTATCTATTCACCTGTTGAGCAAGCTGTCCATGCATTTATGTGAAGATGGTCAAAGTAAAGAATACAGGATAAAGCTCAATGTCAGGCTGCCTTTAGATAAATCCAGAAGTTGGTTTCTCCACAAGTGACCTTATCATCAACCAAACACACACACCCCTTGCCGAACAATCACACACGCGTGTGCGCACATATGAAAGCATCGAGAAAGCAAGGCACACTGCACACACACACACAGCATCCAGGTGACCTGAGGGGAGCCCGCAGGCCTTGAGTTTTACAGGTTGGCCTTGGCTGACCAGATGCAGTAGATTGAACCCGGACATGGCTGCGGCCGATGCTGCAGGGAGAACAGAGACAGCGGCGAGACAGGAGCCGCCTGCTAAAACACCCTCCTACCACTCAGGCTAAAAAATAATAAAGACAAACATAGGCGAGGAGGGAGAGGAAGGAGAAAAAATAAACACAACATAGGTCAACACAGATGTCAGTCACAGAGATGGACACTTAGAGCAGCCTATCACGGGACGGCTGACACTTCTCATGCAGGGAAAGACTGATTAACGTCACTGTGTAAAGAGAGAGAAGTGAACGGGAATGATAAATATGTAAAAACATATTATCCACAATTCAAATGAGGACCTTGCACCCTTAAGACATGTTTACTTACGTAAATGACAGTTAAATGTGCATCACAAGATATAATAATAAAAAAACTTTGGCATATTGAGTTTTCATTTTAATAAAGGCTTTTTAATATTATACCTCACAGGGGCTCATAAATAAAATAAAATGTTTAGCCAACAACCTTAAAGCAGCCAATTTTTAGTTTTTGATTGCTGACAGTCTAATACACATGAAAGCCTATTTTCGCCATGAGATATATATATAAAAAAAAAAGGTAACTGAATCTTTTTATCTCACAATTTGGACTTTTTTCCCCCTCACAGTTGCAAGTTTATCTCACAATTTGGACTTTTCTTCTCAGAATTAGTTAATTAGTTTCAAGTTAACATCTCGCAATTCAAATTTTGTTTTGCCATAATTACGAAAATATCATGCAATTCTCAGTTTATATCTCATAATTCTGACTTCTTATCTCACAATTCTGAATGTTTCCCTTGGAATTGTGAAAAAAAAATCTGAATTGTAAAACATAAACTCAGAATTGTGAAAATTGTGAGATAAAAAGTTGCAATTACCTTTTTATTTTCCATTTCAGGCTTCCATAAATACATTTTAAGCAGTGAAGAGAGATTAATGGGGAAAAAAATTATTATTTGACATTTTTGAGAAGTGATTAAAAGGTCAGAGAACTTCATTAGTGGAACCAACATATATTTTATGTCAAGTTTAATGAGCTGGGTTATTAGTTTTAGAATTCAGAGCCTTGAGAAGACACAGAAAAAAGTGCAGAAGCATTTTCCATAGAAAACAGATAAAAAAAAAACGCTTATCAGCGGTTTCTATGGCTGTAGCACGTCAGTTGTGTGTCTGTGGGCCATAAAGGGAAACTAGCCTTATAATTAAATTTATACTTATACACATTAGCAACTTTGCTTATATCAGCTGTACTACAAAAAGCAATTGCAAACCAATGCACGACACAACAATCTAGTTTGCTTCTTATTTAAATATAGCACATTATATATCCTAACCACATTGGTTACAGTACCTAGTGTAGAGGGTGGAATCAGTGCTAGGAGCGGCCTTGCGGACTTATGGGAACGACTGCATTGGAGCAGGGCCATGGATGCGCGCAGGGCCATGGATCGGAGAAGACGGGCAGCCATCCTGGCCTATGGCAAACTCGAGCACACGCTGAAGAATGCAGGAAGGTTTTTAAGACCTTCTCCAAGCCTTCTTGAAACTATAAAGATAAAGACCTATGAAAAAGGTAGCTTTAAAACTGTTAGAGGCCAAAGAATGTGGGAAATTACAGCTGAACTATGGGATCAATAACAGGCAAAGCCACAGAGCGCTGCTGAGCGCGAGGGTGAAGCTGTGGTTTATAAGGAATGAGGTCCATCTAGTGGTCATGCAGGTGTGAGGTAAAGGGAAAGATCTTTTCATCTACTGCAACAAGGAGACAGGAGAAGAATACAAATGACAACTTATCATCAGAAAGAGATTGATTTGAACATTTTTCCATTTAGCACTTATTCTTAGTGTGGAGAAAAAAATATTTGGATATATATGCATTGTATGTAGCATCTGCCACCAGACAAGCTTGGCTCAGGTCTCATTTTGAGCCAATTTGTGTTTTTTTACTTTTAATCAGGTAATCTTTTAGTATGAAGTCAGTTCTCCTCAAATTCACGGAGTAACCACAGCTGTAGTTCATCACATTAACTATGAACATATTCCAGTTTTGACCAGAAATTGTCTAAATACATTTTGTCTTAATCTTCAATAATATATTTCAACAAGTATTTTTTACCATTTAAAAAATATTTTGTGTGACATTTTGCTTGAAACTTGGTTTGATATTTTGGCATAATTTTCTATACATTTTCATATATATATATAATAAAATAAACTAAAGAAAGAAAAAAAAAATCACAATATATATTTAATTTAGAAAACAATGTAAAAAAAATATAAAATATATTAAATCATTCTGATATATTAAAAATATTTTTTATTACAATATTCCATTTATAATTATATATAACATTATTATGCAACAATTTTGTAAAAATTACACCACTGACCAAAATTAATAAGGCAGCTATGATTGCTTTGCATCTAAATTCAGAATTGTTACAGTAAATGAATGCAACAGCATTCAGACACTTGACTCTTCACCCAGGACTGGTCTGTGTGCCACGAGAGGTTTTAACACATGAACAGATACAGACAAAAGCAAGGCCACATTTTAAAAATACCCAGCAATCACTTGCAGAGAGGACTATAAATATCTCACTTACAGCTCTGCAGAATCACACCATAGGACTGTGTTTGTCTACAGCTTGATGTTTACATCGTTTGCATTCCAGAAAGTTCTCTTTAAATGATTTGAACACTTGATCCGGTTTCCTCCAATGTTACTGCATGTGTATTTTATTAATTTATTAATTTTACTCTTTTTAGCTGCACTGATGAATCACATGCAAGGAAAGCCAAATCTTCATTTATTTCATTTCTGTAAAGCCGAACTGGAACTTGATGAGAGAGGCTCGTTAAACAAATATCATTTTGACAACTGCTTCTTATCACTATCAATAAACTGCCCTTCTCTATTGAACTACAAAATGAACAAGTTCTCCACAGCAGGCAAAATAAGTGCATTTACTCACCAAAAATATCAAGTGCTCTGAGTATCAATGCAGTTAATAAATAAAGCATGCTTGATACTTGAGGTACAGTGACAGTCATAACTATATAAGGTCATAAAGCGACAGATGAGAACTGAAATGTTTTAAAGCAGATCAGATCTGTGTAAATGATTGCCTGGTTTTGATGGTTGCAGGGCCATTGGGAACAACAATGATTAAGTGAATGCTGGCAAATGAAAGAACATCAGAAGTGGATGAATATCTCAAGCATGTGAAACTTTGGCAAATTATCTGTGTATTTTGTTTGGCAACACCCAAACTGCCTTAAGTAATAAGGCTGTTTTGTTACCGATACAGTGAAGGATATTTAACATACTGAATAGGACATTTACACCAGAATTTCATGACTCACAAGTACAAAGATTATATAAATTCATCTATGTTATTACATTAAATGTCCATCAGATGACTGAACATCTGATAGGCTTTTAGGTGTTTATTAGACAGGTGTCAGGAGTTTAGAGGGCAATTAAATAAACATGACATAAAATATTAATGACTTTGAATGGTCTGCACTTACAAAGAATTACCAGGGTTTAGCCTACTTGAAAGTATGGAGTCTCATGATAATACTGTGGTGTGTACAGTAGTCATTTTTGTAAGGGTGTGGTTTGCATAAACAAAATGTTACGTAATAAAACCTCGCTGCTATGACATCACGTGTGGGAGGATACATAGTGTATACATAGTATACAAAGTGTAACTGATATGCTTCATATAGAAGACTAGGAAAATTCGCTGTGGCTATTTACGTAATATTCTGTCATATTAAAATATAAGCATAAAACCGCATAAACAGACGGAACAAACGCGTACATATGTCATACATTTCAACTGCGTCAATTTTAAACTGACAGTAAAATATAACGGTGTTGTGTTACACATTCAACGTGTAGTCATAGAGACCCTGTTGCCCACATTAAAGTCACTTAAAAAGTGCGTAATAAACAATATAGACATATAATAAGTAGTTACACGTACCAGACAGCAGAAATAGCGTTAAAACCGAGTAGAACGGCAGACTAGAGAGTGAAAGGGGCCGCTGTGAGAGCAGAGCATTTGTCAAACAGCGACACGACTGTGTACTTCTTAGGTAATGACAAGTGCATTCTGGGAAATTCCTCTCGCTGGGCAGACGAGCTACAAATATAAGCAATGCGTAATTTGCGCGCAGTTATTCAGCGCGAAGCAACAACCCTCACTAGATTTTGCTTCGCATGCCATCATCACATCCTACTGCTTTCGATTGCGGATTCAAAATAAATGTATATTATAATTTACCATTGAATGCTAAGCAATACTTTAAATGTCCAACTCTACATTAGTAGGCTATGGTTATTTTAGTGGTGCCATTTATTATCTTATTTTTTATTTTAACTTTAGGATCCTTTTAGATTGGTTAGAAACTGGGAAAAAAGGAGGCTAATTAAATTATCTATTTAAAGTGAATATAAAGTTGAAAATGGGTGTATTTTGAATAGCTTCTGTTTTCTCTGATTACTTGTATAATTGTTATAATTGTATAATAATTATTGCAAAATAGGACTGAAATGTCTAGCTTTGCATATGAAAATTGTAATACTTATCTTATGAATCTTGTCCATTTATGTTTACTAATATAGAAATTAAACATTTTAAAAACATATTCCATAACAGATTAAAAAATATCTCTTGATCAATCTCCAAGACTAAAAACATAAGACCACACCATTATGTTTTCAACTGCACTAACTTGTTCACCTAGATATCTGGAGTGGGCAACTACCGTTGACTCTTCTCAGAAATATTTTCAACAATTAAAAGATCAACCTTATCTAAAAAGCCATTTCCAATGTTTTATATAAATGTAGATGGGAAAATGAAGATAAAATGTGCTCATGTAGATCATGTAATGAATCTCATCAAGGAAGGAGATAAACATGAGTAATAAACAAGTACATTTTATTTACCTCATATCCACCCGAACTGCATCTAAACAAAAGCTGATAAATCTTTCTGTGATCCAAAATAGACATGACCGCAGCATGACATGCTCCGTTTATGAATGTGTCCCGATACAAATTAGAATCAAGATCACCATATCAGGCTGCGACCGTAGCACAAGTGTGTACAAGAAAGTCAGAAAACAACTTCCATCAAAAACATCTCCTTAGAGAAATTTAGAAGGGTCGGGGACAGATTAAAAACAGCGACAGGGTGGCATTTAAAATCTGCCAAGTGACCAGTAAGGGGGGGGGAGAGAACATCCATCTGCACCAACTATAATGGGAAAAGCATAACTTTTAAAATATAAACAAAACAACAGTAAATAATTATATACTTGAATATAATCAGGCTGACAATTAAGACTAGTGTTCAGAAACATGGCATTGAAGGGAAACACAATTGTTAATTTCTCTCATAAAGCCATGTAGACCCTTCCACATGACACGTCTCTGAATGCAGCAGTGTAGTTATTCTGTTGGCAAGAAACAAACAAGAGCTTATGACGATTTGTTTCATACACATGATTTCAACCACCACCATTCAACGAGTTATTTACAGCACCCCTTTCTAGAGTGTGTGCATGCTGTTCTTCGACTAAAAACTACAAAACAAAAAGGCAAAGAAAAATAATAAAGGGAATACATCAGCTAAAACAGCATCAGGGAAATAAACATCCACAATATATGATACAATTCAAAGCTTAAATATAGACATACTTTAACCAGCACATGCAGCTACGTATAGCCCAACAGAGCTCCTTGGAATTAAGGAGGGGAGTTAGTTACGTAAAAAATAAGCAGAGGCCGGTAAACTCTCAATCGTGTTGTGAGATTTAAAGTTGGAAGCCATTTTTGTCAATGAATCCATAAAGACGGTTTATCAAAAACAAAGCAAATACATAAGAAACAGAAATTTGTGTCCACTTGCACCAGATATGAGAAGGACAGAAATTGCGTCGTCCACCTCTCCTAAAAGTTCTCACCGGACCGAGCAACTCTCTCTCCACCGGTTTCACGCAAGTGTGTGCATCTGCCTTGCTTTCCTTGATACCGAAGGACAGGAACAAAGAAAAAAAAAAAAAACACAGCAGCTCACAGGTTTAAACACCATTGCTTGCATATGGCTGACAACACTGATTGGGCATCCCAGGTCGCCCAACTGTAAAAGCTCCTGAACGCAGTTCTCTCTGGTGAAGAGGACGCAGGAGAAGGGAGCCTCGTATATAGCGAAAGAGAGAGCAGAGAGGATGGTGGTGGCCGTTAGCATGTGCCTCAAGAGAAACCCAGTGAGCTGGATGTGCTGGATCGCTGGTTCAGGCGAGACATGCTGTTCATGCAGGAGCTGGAGGGCTTGAGGGGCGTGTTGCAGCCCAGGGCTTGTGGGAAACGCTGGTGGTAGCGATCCAGCCGTAGATACTTGACTGTCACCAGCTTACCTATAAAAAAGGCAGGACAGGTTTAAACGGACTGAAAATGGCAGTTCTTCTGATTAATCTAGAATAAATGCATCGTTCGTTTACCATCAAACCAAGAGCCATGAAGCGCTTTGAAGGCTTTCCCAGAATGCTCTGCTGAAAGGCACTTCACATAAACGCAGCCCTAGATGAGAACAAAATCATACAGCAAATCAACTCATTAATTAAATGCTTCTAGGAATATTACACTGTTCCAAAAGAAAGAAAAATTCTAAGGCAACATCATATCCTTTGTGAACAAGGCAATACTAGAATGCACTGCTAAAAATGAATGAATGAGGTACAAAGAAATACAGTTCTGTGTAATAAAAAATATATATATATTTTACCTATTATTTGTTTGTCCTATTTCATTTTGCTAATATTATTATCTAGCACCCATTAGCTTAGCATCATGCTAACATCAAATGCCATTCAAATAAATTGAGTAAAGTCAATTTATACGATCAGCTTGAAAGCAAACCAATATGGTAAAAAATAATGTTCAGAGTACTTCAAGATAGCTTATTTTACCCAATATTTGTATGTCCCATTTATGCTTATTACAATATGTAGCACATGTAAGCTTAGCAACATGCTGACATGAAACTCCACTGGAACCAATCAAAACAATTCAAGATGGCATAAAGAAGGCACTTCACATAAACGCAGCCCTAGATGAGAACAAAATCATACAGCAAATCAACTCATTAATTAAATGCTTCTAGGAATATTACACTGTTCCAAAAGAAAGAAAAATTCTAAGGCAACATCATATCCTTTGTGAACAAGGCAATATTAGAATGCACTGCTAAAAATGAATGAATGAGGTACAAAGAAATACAGTTCTGTGTAATAAAAAATATATATATATTTTACCTATTATTTGTTTGTCCTATTTCATTTTGCTAATATTATTATCTAGCACCCATTAGCTTAGCATCATGCTAACATCAAATGCCATTCAAATAAATTGAGTAAAGTCAATTTATACGATCAGCTTGAAAGCAAACCAATATGGTAAAAAATAATGTTCAGAGTACTTCAAGATAGCTTATTTTACCCAATATTTGTATGTCCCATTTATGCTTATTACAATATGTAGCACATGTAAGCTTAGCAACATGCTGACATGAAACTCCACTGGAACCAATCAAAACAATTCAAGATGGCATAAAGAATAGTTTTGCAAACAATAACACCACACATTAAAAATTAACTGTTCTATGCATTTTATGCTTCTTACAATATGACTCCATTGGAATAAACTGTGAGTCAAGTCAATTTGTGTGGTGTAAGGAGTAGTTGCATGTTGTTGTAGTGTGTTACAAATTGGCCACTTATGAGGGTCCATGATGGCTGGGATGCAGCCTTTGAAGGCAGCAGGCAACTCTTTAGCTTTTGGACAAGAACCCATAAACCCAGGCTGTATATTTTGTAATGAATCACACAGGATCCTCACCTCTCTTGAGTTTTTGTCAACAGCTATGTGAACGATTCCATCGTTATCACTGCACTTCTCCAAAATGGCTTCTTGAATGGCGAGGTGCCAGTTTTCCCCTACTTCCCTGTTCAAGAGGGAAATACATTTCTCTAAAACACTCTATCACGCAAAATTACATACAATTATGCAAGTAGATACATTTTACTTCAACAACCAATTCAATGTGAGGTCACATGCAAAAGTCCTTGAGAAACTTACATTACAGGATCAAACATGTTGCGAATCTTCAAGCACGGCGTTAAGCTGTTTGGTGGCGAATTTCTTCGGTCCAACGGAAATGCTGAAGAACAAAACAAGCCACTTTAGGTTCATGAACATATTCTATATGCCCAAAAGAATTTGGACACTATGCATAAACGTGTTGAATGTTTAATATCAGTTACATTTGCATTAACAGGAAGTTAGTCCTCTAAACAAGTCAATCAGAAGGAGGTGCCCACATGTATTAATCCAAAAAAGTAAAAAGGCACGAGTTTGACCTTAAAATGCAGATGGTTGACTCCACACGAAGAAAACCTTACCTTGGCCTTGCCACACTTTGGAGGGCATGCTGGACATCTTATCAGGTGACACTGAGGGCTGAAGCCACCGCCACACCATGAAGTCCGCCCCTCCAATCCTCTGCGTTTCTGTCCGGATGCGGGACTCATTAGCTGAGAGGAATGCAACGGCTCTGTCCCACACCTTCTTCATCTTCTTTCTGAGAGAATGACACGATACACATACTCTTCAGAATACACTGGACCAGGAAAAGAGGGCATTTCATCCAAAAATGCAAAACGAGCTAAAACCAAATTTGCACTGCAAAGACGCAATACCTGTCTTGAGGCTGGACAAGAGAGTCACGGACGTGAGGGATGGGCAAATACCGCTGCAAGTCCTTATTCTCCTGACAGGCTTCATTGTGGCTTCTCATTACATCTGTGAAAACACAAAGCACATGTGATTAAGATGCTTTACACCTGCATTGTGTAATTACTGTGCTAAAAATATAGCCTAACGATGAGACAACCTTACCGATGATCCTCTCCACCATGTCATACATCTGTCTAGTTTCCTCCTCTTCTTTGCGCCATCTGTATTTCATATAATACACCAAACCCAAAACTACACCGATGCCTACAGAGAAATGCAGGAAAGGTTAGTGAAAAGATCTTCCCCGTGCAGAAAGCACCAACCTCTACAGAGAGTAGAAGCCAACCTGCAAGGACGAAGAGAACTCTGTGGATCACAGTGAAGAAGGCGCGTCTGAGGCGACAGAAGAAGGACATGCGGGGGTGGATGGACTCCAGTCGTGAGATTTCTGATACGTCCTCTATGGGTTGAGCAGGGTCAGCACCAATCAACCTGCCAAGAAACCAACACACCCCCAATGAACAGGAAAACGGCACACAAAGAGTGATAGGATAGATAGATAGATAGATAGATAGATAGACAGACACTTTTGATGGACATCAAATACCTTATACCGACAACATCTTTGGTTTTCATGACCCACTCTAAAGACGTTTCAATCATGTTTTCATAGGCTTCATTTTGGAGCTTGAAAGAGAAAGATGCTTTATTATGTTGTGCAGTTTCATATTGGTAGAGCCACTATTTCCCAAATTATACAATTAAAGAAAATGCAATTTGACATGAACAGAAAATGGAGATCAAACCCTTCAATAAATAAAACAAACCTTGAGGTACGTAGAGGCGTCACTAAAAGAGACACTTCTGTTTAAAGAATTTTTAAGGTCTCCACAATCATGTTCTCCTGAAAGGCAAACAAACGGTTGCACTATTTAATGCTGCATATATTAAAACCAAATATATTTAAGATGAGTAAGTATAAATATATTTAAGTTGTATCTGAATGCTCACCAGCGACATTGGCCAGGTGCTCATGTAGAGACAGGAGCAGGTTAAGGATGAGGTCTCGGTCTTTGACGTCCTGTTCAAATCAATGCAAGTAATTGTTGTGAGTGCATGTTTAAGGACGGTAAAACCAGAAATACCTTTTTGGTGGAAAATTGTTTAATTTTTGGTGGACTAAAAGTTTAAAACATGGGACACAGATGAGCAGATACTTACATAATGCAGATCAAACTCTGGTCCGAATGGGTGAAGTACGACTGAAAAAGAAAGAAAAGTAAGTTGACAAATGGCATTACTCGGCACTAGACATATTTTAATGATACATGACTGGATGGTATTTCCCAACTATGCCGTGGAGGAGGGCTGCTCATCGTCTCACACTTGAGGGTGACTACAAGGGAGAGCCTCTCGTCGTCTCACACTTGAGTCAATGTCTGAACATTGTGCTTCTGTCCTCGCTCTGGCCTGGGCACAGATTAAGCACAGCAACTGCCCTGCGTGTCTCAATCATAGACTGCATTGGTCTGGCTTATCAGACGTGAGCCGTCTGATGATGCAAGCCATTTAATACATCAACCTCTGAGAAAAAGCCATATACTCCGGAAAAACAATTGCTTTTAAGTTTCAAGACCAAGTCTGGCCTAGATTTCAGGTGATAAGATCCCATTTTGCTGTTTTTGTGGTTGAGCTATAGATGTGAGTGGCTTACACTGTGGTAGAACCACAAAAACACATGGCCAAAAGTGGCCTACAGACCTTATTCAGGGTGGCGCCATTTTTTTTTTATTAAAAATTTAATTTTTTGACAGGAATGAAAACAAGGCTGGGAGAAATAGATGTACAGTTCAACGGACTATACTGTTGTTTAACAACATAATTGTTCAGCTGACAAAACATCTTTTACTAAACAAATTTCAGTAAAGAAAACTCCATAAAACAGTTTTAAAAGTTGGCAATTGTGAGATCTAGGACCTTTATACAGTGCATGCCATTGTAAAGACTTTATATCTATACCGCATGACGTCTAATCAAACTAAGGTCGTTTTTTTTATAACAGCAGAACTAACAATAAAATAAACGATATTGTCAAAACCATCTTCTTTATAATACACAGTGCACAAAATTTGAAGTAGCCCTTGTTTCTCTGATAAGTTCTTAAAACCTACTAAAATATTAGACACATCATAGAACTAAACTTTGACTATGTTCAGAATTGGACACTTGCATACTATTTAAAAAATAGCATACTACATAATGATAAACATTTCAAACAGCTTTATGCTACATTGTTGCCACATTACCTTGTTACACTGCAGTTAATTCTGCAAGTAGCATCCAGTTGACAATTAAGAAACAAAAGTGAACGTTTGGCATTTTTTGCAGCCTGATCAAATAGAGTCAGGATGTTTTAAATGACTAAGTCGTCAAACTGGAAGATCAAGTCAAGCACACTGCTTTGTGGGATATTGTATTGAATGTTCTGACATATTTCATGCACACAGACTACTTTAATACTGTGCTTATGTAGTGCACACAGCAGCAATACTAGTAGTAGTGCTATTAGTTTTGCACTAGTTGGATAGTATGTTGTTCAACATAACTGTCCTAAATCACAAGCTGCAAACAACAATCTGAGCAAGTAGAAATCTGATACACATACTGTATGTGTCACATTCAAAGTGAGAATTAGGCATTTAGCCGGCCAGAGAGAAGTCAGTCACTCTAGCTGGCCGCAAGCTCCCAGAGTCCCCTGAGAAACAGACAATTAGGCCGCTTTAGCTTGTCTGTGACCTAGATGTCTGCAGCACGCTCTCCAGTCAAAGCTCCCTCCCTGAGAGACTGGCCATGCCACAAATATACATAGTAATTCATCAGTCGGCTTCCTCTCAAGAGCCGTCTCTGCCTCCAGAGCACTTTACTCTGATGGTACTCAAGCTATTTAAACTGAGTGGCATAGCATGCACATTCAAGAACAGACTTTCTCTCATCTGGGAAAATGCATCAAAAGATTAATGCTGGCTATCACATTATGACCATAAAGGATGTCAACATGTCAAAATGTGGGGACTACCAGACTAACCATGATTATCAAATAACAGACACTCAGAGGGTTCCCACACTTTTCAAGAGTGAATTTCCACGACTTTTCCAGTCATTGATAATTCCTGAGTATTTAAAATAATTCCATTTTAATTTATTTTGAATAATTATTTAAAAGCACAAAACTTACAACATAAATATTAAATAAAATTATCCTTGTAATTATTCAACATAATTTTGAAATTATTTTTAAAGAAGAATCTAAGTTCTCAAGTAACCAATGAATCATTTAGATCAATATTTTAACTAGTCTGAAGAGCATATCAGGTACATTATGGGTTGCAGACTAGTTTTAGTCTACAAAAAAGGCAATATTTAGCCAAGTACATAAATTCATATGCATTCATATTTATTCTTATTAAAATTTAGCACAAACTCACCTCCAGTAAGAAAAAACTTTAAGATAAGGCTCCTTAGACAAATATGGTAAGCACTAAGATGTTTGAGAGTAATTTGACTAAAAGTTTCTGTCATAGACATATTGTTGCAACATTTAAGATGAAGGTGCGATGAGCTACCTGAAATTCACCAGCGCTGGAACAGTAATTTGACATATCATGGAGCACACATATTTCTAATGCAAATACCTCTCTCTGTCCCATAAAGCACAAGCGGCATAGACCATTTCCTGTCTAAGAAGGTGCAAATAGTCTGGGGTGATAAGTGCTATGTGAACTAGTCACGTTTGACTCATGGAGTTGCAGAAACCATTAGAAAAACTTCGAGGAACTTTCTAAAGCATTAAATGTGTCATATTTTAAAACACACACTCTGTGATTTTGCTTAGTAAATCAATACAAGTTAATTTGACATTTGCCATATATACCAGATACTAAACCACAGTGTACAGACAATCATTTAAGGAATGCAACACTATAAATAGCACTTAACATCATCATAATCTCAAAGAATGATGGTATTATAGTCCAAAACACATTGTACTACATTACTACAATAATATACCCTAGTATTTACATGACAATCCTTCTATGTATCAAAGCACCTCAGTATCAATGCACCATGGTAATGCCACTTTTTGTAAATGTTTCATAGTATTAAAACGTTTTTTTGACATAACTATCATTGTATGAATATTGTAAACATCAGCATTCCAAGTACCATAATATTACAATCTGGTACATCACTGTACCATGGTGCGACCATGTTTTTTGGACAAAGGATGATGGTGATATGTTTTTGGACATGTACCACAGTAATACTTTTTTTGTACGTTTCATAGTATTCTTTTTGGAAACTGGGTGGAAGTAATAATACATTAATTTGCTATGGTATTTAATCAATTACCATGGTAATACCATGTTTTTTGGATGAGGTACCATGGAAATATCATCCTACATGAATGTAGTACTTATCAACATTCAGTACTATTATACATACTAAATAATAAAACAGCACTTTCTGATAGCAATGCTTGTAAACCACCCCAAAATCTTGCCTAGGGATATATCTGACTTGGTTTTGAGACACATGCCACCGCTTCATACTTACTGCCTGCATCCCGCTCCGAGGAGCTGGAGCCCCTCATCCGCAGGTACATGAGGCCCAGCAGGACGAAGAACCCCGCGGCTGTGGCTGCTCCTCCCACAGCTTTTTCAGTTTCTTCAAGTACACGGGCCGCGTGCTCTCCGTCACCGGGCCCGGAGTGTAGCCGAGCCGTTTTAATTCAGACACAAGCTCCTTATCCGTTAACTGTGCAGACGCCATCTTTGCACGAAAAAACGCATACAGCGAGACACGGCGGAAGTGACGTAGAAGTAAGCGGCCAGACGGCCAACCTGAAAGGGACGAAACGGGAAACTTTTTTATTCTTTTTTTTATTATGAAATGAACAACATTATACATCGCTATGAATGACAATAAAGAAAAAGAGCGGAAAACCCGTCAGACGGGGTACACAGAGAAGACAAAAATCTAAATAAAGTATATAAATATTAAGAATAGCCTATATATATATATATATATATATATATTTGGAACATAACTTTTATAATCATCAACATCATCATCATCTTCATCCATTTTATGTTTTGTAATATAATAATAATAATAATAATAATAATAATAATAATAATAATAATAATAATAATAATAATAATAATAATAATAATAATAATAATAATAATAATAATAATAATAATAATAATAATAATAATAATAATAATAATAATAATAATAATAATAATAATAATAATAATAATAATAATAATAATAATAATAATAATAAAACAATTTATTTAATAAACATTATTATTATTCATTTTTGTTGTTGTTTTGAATAATTGAAACCCAAATGTAAATGAAAATCAGAAAATACATTGATAAACAGTAAAGATAATCAAGTCAATCAAATGTTGCTTATTAGTTTTAGATATTCTGACACCTGGTTGACATGCATTTAGGTTAATATGAATTAAATTAATGAAAATGAATTAACATGAATGAAAATCTCCAAGTACAGCCGTACAGGGAATTTCAGTGCTGGTGACATAAATTGAAGCAAGTGTAGAAATATAAAAATACAAATAAAGATGTTGAGAAAAGTATCCATGCTGAGTTTGGTTAAACCAAGAGAAGCCCTTTTAATGATGGAAGAATACCTTTTATTATCACGCTGTTACACTTCAAATCATCAATAGGCTGTATGCATATCGACTATTTTAATTGTGACTCAGGGGCGTCTTGTATTAAACCACGCCACCTTGTGGCGAAATCTGTGAAATGCAGCTCCTGCTGCGTACAAGTAGCTCGCGGAACAGTCCGCGCGAATCATTCTGTCAATTGAAGACTCACTCACTCGAGACACATTTAGTGCACGGGATTGAAGCGAGAGGGGAGAGCCAGCAAGCCGGCCAATTCACTTTAAATAAACCAAGGGATGGCTTTCAGGACGCCTGCTGTTCAACTGCATCTTAAAACGTGCTTTCTTCTGCTTTTAGGGGGTCTGATGGAAGCTGCCCAAGAGCAAGGAAGCATGTACATGTGGATTGATGCCAATCAAGCACGAATATTAATTGGTAATAGTGTTTAGCGCTTTAATGATATTAGAGCCCAAGTGTGAACCAAGCCAGTGCATAATGACTTTAGCACAGGGTTTTTCAAGCTACGAGATGCTTGTGAATGCTCAATGTTTTATCCAACAGGTTTTGAAGAGGATATTTTAATAGTCTCCGAGGGCAAAATGGCCCCGTTCACACACGACTTCAGGAAAGCTCAGCAGCGAATGCCAGCAATACCTGTCAATATCC